GTATCCATTAATTCTTCCTTGTAGAGATTGTTTAGTTTAGCCAATATACATGGCAGATGGGGCATTGCTGGCACTTGTTGGCATAGATCACTCTAGTGGATGCACAGTTTTACGAGCCTCTGATGTGATGGTTTACATGGTTAGGTCCATAAATGATGCACCGTTTGTGGTCAACCTACAATAAGTGCCTTCAGCCCAGATTTTAGTAGTGGTTAGACATTGCTCCATTCAGGGTTAAATACTCACTGACAGGAGCCAAATTCTCATTTTCAAAAATGAGAAGTGCCTAAGTCACTTTTGAAAATGAAATGCAGGCAGCCAGGCAGTTAAGCATTAGTGCTGAGCACAGCAAAGCCTAAATACCTTTTGAAAAGCTTGTGATTCATTTTATATGACATGTTGATCTTTTTGGACACAGATTGGAACTTGTTTGGGAAAAATATGGAATGCAGATGCTGTTTGTTCAGTGTTGTCAATGATTTTGTGCACACAAAGCATGTACAGAACCTGCAATCAGTAATTCAACAAGAAGTGGGAAAGATTCCTTGGTTTATGACTTGTTAAAAAGAGATATTATTAGAGTTCTAACAGGAAATTAAATTGGAAGATTACCAAATGCTGCCAATGTTTTCATGTCCTGGAACCAAGCAAACATTCTTATCTGTAACATGGTGCACAGTATAAGCTCTTGGAGTTTCTGGGTTTTCCCGTTGCTTTAAGGATATATCAAATATGACATAAGATCAACAGCTTAAGTAAGCAAATGGTAAGGTATGTGGTATGGAAGGGTATAAGAGATTTCTTGTTCAGAGTTTGAAAGCTGTGATTGAATCATTTGTCCATCCATCTCTTTAAAGAGAAAATGGAAAAAGAAATTGCTGAAATACATCAGTCAAAATGAGTGGTTTGTCTGGAGGATGTTACTGAAACTAAGTAGCTAGTAGACAGTTACATTTACTGTAAGTTTTCTAAAGTGGTCTTCCACAGGAAAGACTTTTTTTTCCAGTGGCTTGTTTATTGACATTACTTTTTCATGACTAAACTTAGAGGGATTTTATCGTGTTGGACAGCTGTTCCTCAGTAGAACAATTAAATGGCAATATCCCTCTAACAAAGTAAGGATCCTTTACGTTACCTGGTGCACAGTGTTTGTGTTGGTGTGGCGGGGGGACCCCATGGCAGTTCAGGTGTGTTTACTTTTTTGTAATTTGTTTACACAGAAAATGTCTGAGCTCTGTCTTAAAAGGTGGGGGAGCAGATTTCCACTCTAGAGTCACTTACTTTTGTCCATTCCTATTAGGTAATAAATTGATGCACATAGCACTTATGAGCCAAACTCAGTTTATTCATCCACTGTGATTTTTTTTTTTTTAATCTTACATGTGATGAGGATTTTTCTAGCTATGGCCATAGCTTTCTCAAAGATCTCCCTGGCATTTTATGGGCACATTTGGCTCAGATTGGGCGGCTCTTTCCATCTGGGTAACCACTGATAGACATGAGTCTCAACTAAGTGCACAGATTGGCAGATAAACTACTATCCTGTCCGTGATCTAGTCATTACCCTCCAGCATAGGCCTTGGCAACAAATACTAATCTTAACATGATGGAAGTACCTGGTATGGTAAATTATGCCTCAAAATATGTGCAGCTTTGTTTGCAAGTGCCAGGATTAATTTAGGTCACAGAGTGCCCTGAATGCTTTAGTTCTTGCTTTGAATATTAGAACCACCAGAAATAGTTTGCTGCAAGCAACCAATGGGTGAGAAGAGAAAAATGAGAGTCAAATAGTGCCCTTCAAAGAATATAGTAGGCACCCGCTGTTGATTTCCATTTAAGAGATGGAAATTTACCCTGTTAGTAGCAGTGCTGGCAGAGGCAAGGAAAGATCTGATGCCTGTTGAAGTGAAAGAAATGACTACTTCGACAACCAGTACAATGTACTTCATAAACATCATTTGAGCCTCCCACCAGCTCTGAGGGAGTATGTGGAAGAAGAGTGTTGTCAGAATAGCTGTGCCGCCTTGTGATGAGCATGGTATGGAGGCCTCTTCTGTTGACAGCCACTCCACTTTCCAGGGTAAACCAAGTCCAGCAGTACTGTTTGCAGCATCATGAGGGAACCTTGGCTCTGAGGTCTTCATGCCACTAGGTGACTTGGTAGGGAAAACCAGGTCTACTTTCTACTCTGGCTGCCAGCCTGCTCAGGAACCTTGAATAAAGCAGAGAAGGTTTGTTTGTTCAGACTGTGCTGTATCCCTGGGCTGTTTCCTCCCATGGCCCACAGCTAGGCCTCTCACGGCCTCTTATTGGACTGACTCATCAACTGGGCCCAAGAAATGGGAAGACAAAAAGTGATGGAGAACAAAATAAATGGGAAGTGCCACACCAGGCCCATCTGCCCCAATGAGTCTCTGACCCTTTGGAAACTCTGGCTATATTCTGGCCCCGGATAGCCCTTCCTTCAGAGAACTAGCTGAGAAGTTGCCTCTCCCAGTCAGCCATTACTTAATTGGCCTTTCCTCTTTTGATACCTCCCTCCAGGCCTGACACCTTGTACAGGTGAAGCAGGATGGACCTGATTGGGTCCTCAGGCTCACATTAACCCCTTCTTGGTCAGTGTGGGTTCTGCATACTCCATTCACAGGTAGGTAAGTATGAGAGCACCCATTCCAAGACAAGATGCAGTGAGAGTCAGAGGAAAACTTTGTAAGTGAAAGCTTCTCATTCTGCAGAAGTTATTTATCCGCCATGCTCACTAGGAAAGGCTTATCGCTGTCAGGTGGGATTATTTCAGGTCTTGCCACAAGTCAGACCAGCTGCACTATGAGTGTGTCAGTAGGCTATCTATATGGCCAATATGTCCTCAGATGCATTAATCACATCCTTTAGGAATCCTCCATCTACTAGGGAAGCACCTACCAGTACCAATGTCTGCTGTTGCCCTGGTGGAATTCAGTAAAAAAGGTGCTTGCAAGAGATCTGCTTCATTCTGGGATTGGTTCTAACTGCTGGTTCCTAACACAGAGAGCTTCCCTGCCCAGACTCTGTATCTGGGAAGCTCAGGCTTTAACAGCATAGCCCCTGATACCAGAGTCCCACATAAGTGTCCAAGGTATAAGTTTAAAGCTCTGAAACAGTTTTAACATCCTTCCTTTTTTATGCAGCTATTAGAGGGACTCAAACAGGGTAAGGACTTGACCCTGGACATGGTAAATGGCTGCCACCAGCTTTTTCTGCAGGATTCCTGAGCAAACAATGTGCATAATGTTATGTACCCCTCTGTGTCCAGGAAGCCATTTTTGGGGTTTGGTTTACTCTTCAGTGCAGGCCCCAGAAGTAACAATAGGAGGGAAGAGAGAAGGCTGAAAAATACAGAAACTTTTTTTATCATATTTAGTGCATAGTGTACTTCGAGAGACAGTTTTGTTGGACATCTAGTATGGAGAAATTGCTGAAGTTTTGTGTCATGCTGGAGACAGATTTATTTTTATCAAGTGGCAATGAAGCATCTTACAGTGAGATTGAAAAGACAAAAAAATAAGAGGCTAAATGCTGCCCTCGAACATGCAGAAGCAATTTCTGTTGACTCCAGTGCTTGCATGTGCTTTGTACTGAACTTTGATATTGAAATGCTAAGGCTTGAAACTGGTATCTTATTATATTCAAATTTAAATATTTTACATTCAAAAAAAGCTCAGTGCTAGGGTGGAATGTAAGTGGAAGACGCTGCAGTTTTGTGGTCAAGGGAGAGGTAAAAGATGTGCATGATTGGTTAGTTCTTTGTGGACCTGTCATATTTATCATTTGTGACCTGTAAGAAATAAATTATTATGAAATGTCATATTCCATCCTTTAGGCTTTTTGAGTCTAATTCTGTTTTAACAATTTACTGAATACTAGTGCTGTTCAACTGAAGGCAAAATTTATAACTGCCACATTTAATCAACACAATTAAAATGTGCTTTTCCTGAGTTCTGAGGAAAATGTCACATTTTTCTTTTGGTTCAGGTTAGCTAGGAAGGTAATCCACTTAATTATTGGAGATTTGGGCTGTGGGACACTTTTTTTTCCCTCAATATCTGCAAAGTATTTGCTAAACTATTCAAAATAAGAATAGCTTGACATACAAATATTTTGTGTTCCAGTATTATGTTTAATAAAAAGAAGTGCAAGGTCTCTGTTTTCTCTATGTCTCTATGGCCCAAGTAATTTCAGTACATCATTATGGATCAACTTCAATTTTACTCTCCTGTGCAGAAGACTAACCTGGACTACATTTTTCTCAAGTCACACCAAAGTCCTCACATAAGACTTTTTGGCCTTCTGCACAGTTATCAATTTCACTTAGTAGAATTGTTCAAAGATTGTGCTGCAAATGAAACATCCTTATATTGATCATTTTAAAAATAAGTTATTGATAATTTACTTATTTCATGAAACATTTCAGGTATTTAAATTATCTGTAGTTTCTTACTGACCATAGTAAATTGCATAGCTTTTGACAGAATTGCAGGGGCCCCTAAGCTAGAGATGGGGAGTGGCTGGGGACTAGCCTCCCCCAACTAGCCCTTCAGTACTTCCTGGCCCATACTGCCCAAGGCTGTGGCAGAAATTTTAAAGGGCTCACTGTAGTGGCAGCTGGGAGCCTGTGGCCCTTTAAAATCACCAGGCCCTATGCTCCCTGTCCTGTCTTCCCCAGCACTGTTGGCAGCCTTGGTAAATTGGAACAACTATTGTCTGCCTCACAATAGAGCTGTGCAGCATAGTAAATTGAAAACATATATAGTGGCAAAAGATTTCATATGCACTTTCCCAGTTTTATTTTGATGTTTAAAAATCACTTTTTATTTCTTTTCATTCGGGATCTGAAGGAATTCAAGTCAATGCAAAATTACTTAAATTGTTGGTAAATTGTTGGTTTTTATGTATTTCTGCAGCATATTGTTTTCCAGAGACTGTCTACATTTTAAAATGTTGTTTTTTATGTATTTCAACAGGCCTTGAACAGGGGTATCGCAGCTGTTAAGGAAGATGCTGTGGAAATGCTGGCCAGCTACGGGCTGGCCTATTCCCTCATGAAATTCTTCACGGGTCCAATGAGTGACTTCAAGAATGTGGGTTTAGTGTTTGTGAACAGCAAACGAGACAGGACCAAAGCAGTTTTGTGCATGGTTGTGGCTGGTGCTGTGGCTGCTGTGTTTCACACCTTGATAGGTAAGACTTGCTCACTATTTACTTAAGATACCCTGCGCAACCTGGGTGACTGGTTGGTTGACTTTGCTTCTTCATTCCATCTCTGCAAACTGCTTTCCCTGCAGTTCTCCTAATTTTTTATTTCTATGTGTGGGAGGGAGCTGTGGATTTTCTTGTGGCTGGAGTTTGGTCCAGACTACAAAATGTTATGGTTTTTGAATGATAGATTCCATCTTTATATCTTTCTCATCCACTAATACCCATCACTACCATCATTTTATGGTTGTTCAACTTATCACTGACTGGTATCATCACTGTTTAACAGTAGCACAGTTATCAGGCTGTAATCAGGATATAGCACTGTCATACTGCAGATGGGGTTCATCTAGTTCTTTTCTGCAGGAGGCCATCCCAATGTGCTACAAGAAGTGCTTTTTTCCTTCAGTCAGGACTTCCTACTGCCTTTGCCATTCACATCACAAGTAGTAGCCCCTTAATATCTTTTCCCCCCTACCAGCCATTTCACAAGGCTAAACTCTGTAGTAAAGAGGACTAGGTAAGCTGATTTCAAAACAACCAGGATTACCTTCTATTAGATGTAGTCAACACTTCACTATCCATTTCTGGTAGTTAGCTAAGCTCTTCCACCAACTCTACAAACATCACTTCTTGCAAATCCAAGAAGCCATTGGCAAATGAGGCCAGGACCCCGACTGCACTCTGGACCAGGAAGAATATACAAATAGACCTGACGATGGAAGAAATTAACAATATTTGCAGATTTCTGAGAGCCCCAACAAATATGATATTGAACTGATTGTCAGCCAGTGTGATGCAATATTCAAGGCCAAGAAGGTTTTGTATCAGGATATTAGACCACAACTAAGAGACTAGCAGAAATTGGATCTCAAGTACCTTTAAGAGCTGTACCAGGTCTGGTGTCCTAAACAATCTTCAGTGCACCTCACAGAATGGAGACTGGTGTAGCCCCTGCAACAAGGAGACTGACCAGCAGGAAGGAAGGGAAGTCTCTAACAGGTATAGTGTTTGGCATTCCTTATATCTACGCATGTGGGGCATGGGGTGAGCATGGGTGGGAATTGGGAAGGAATGTAGGGAGCATTAATAGATTTGGACCTGGGAGACTGCAATTGTCTGGGAACTGGCAAGTGTTTAAAGGCAAGATGTGGATCTACAGAGGCTGGCCTGCATATGACACCTATTGTTAATTGTCAGGCTGTCAGTATCCCAACCACCACACTCTCTGCAAGACAGTACATGGGCCCTGTATTTGCATAAGAACTTAATTGAAGAACAGAGGTGTCCACTCATGTTATCTCCTGGCTTGGTGCCACCTTTTAATCATGCTTAGTATCTTTATAACCCTTTAAACACACAGAAACAGGCACTCAGTTTTAAGACCATGGACCTTGTTGTATTGCTGACATGTTAATTAAAGGGCTACCCTTACTCTTTTTTGTTGTTATGCCCATATGCAGGCAATGTGCTCATTGGCTGCAATAGCCCTATGCCAGGGTCAACCTGTCACTAATTAAAAAAGTTGAAAAACCATCAGTGAAATTAATTCATTGATCTTCCTGACATCCAGAGGCCATCTCAGAGCATGTTGGTGGGTCAGGATTTTGCACTGAAGACTGTTCAGTGTTGTAAACTCATATTCATTTGTGAGATCTGCCATAACATTTCTTGGCTTGGGTATTTCCCCAGCCTTGAGAGAATCTTTCAGTTGCCCTTGTTCACCTGTTTGGGACCAGGTTGAATAGAGGGCAATTTTACCAGCTGGGGAAAGATTTCATTTTTCTGTCTCTTCTCATTTTGCGTTTTAAGCCATATGGGTTCTTGCTGACTCAAAGTACATCATCCTGGTTTCTAAGCTGAGGGCTATAGATTGATTGATTGATTGATTCTTAGTTATGTGAGGCTTTTGGTCAGAGATGTCTGAGTAGACATTCCAAAACATGCTGCTTTTGTTAGGCTTGCTGAAATACAGAGCATTGCTGTGCTCTGAACACCTGACACCCAATGTTTCCATTTATAAACGAGGGAAAAAAATCAAGATTAATATACTTGCCAAACATTAAGGTTCTGAATGAAAAGGCTTCACTCGACCTTCCAACTGCTCATGGTGGCAGAATTGAAACTATAGTAGTATTTTAGCATGTGTGTGCCTGAAAATATGGGCAGATCAGATCTGAGAGTGGAGGAGGATTTAAGACCATTACAATAGTCAGATTCCTAGAAATAATTGTGTGATGCTGCCAAGTTGTTTCAAGTTGCCTTTGAACATGTTTTATAACCTACTTCTCCCTTTCTGAACCACAGATGCACAACCTCCAGAGTCAGGGGAAGAGGAGGAACAAAGTGACAGTCAGGCAACTTTGCCAAATGGGCTGCTGGTCTTTGGCAGCTGTAAGATAGTCACAAACCTCTTCCAGGAAGCAAAAGGCTCAAGATATTGATGCTCAACAAATAAAATAAAATCTCCATACTACAGTGAGATACTTTCATGTAGTCTGTGTGTGAAGGAGGAGGGAGGAAAACTTGACTGTCCTTCATGGAGTGTGAGATTCAACCACTGAAAAACAAAAAGTCCAAGGGAGCAAGAAGAGGGAGGATGAGAAAAGTCAGAGGGGAAAAAGACAAGTGGCAGTGGATGAGGAAATGCACACTTACAGCTATGATTGAGTCTATTAGCAGCACTCAGTCAAAACTCCTGGGAAAAAAGCATCCCCCTCTCCCTCTTTTGTAATGCCAGAAAATAACAGACTGCTTCAATCCTGTGATTCATACTTCCTTATACACCAGGATCTCTTTACTACCCTCTCACATGAGCCACAGGAATCCTCTGTTTGGGTGTCCAACTAAGCCAAACAATCGTGACTCACATCTAAAAGCTATGTGTATCTTGTATTTACACCTCCCACCTCACCATATTATGAGAGCCTCGCTAACCGTTTCCACAACACACCCTGGGCAAGTGATGATAATGAGGAAAGTCAGTGACTTGGCCAGGGTCACCCAGGAAAAGGATGTCTGAAGTAGGAATTAAAACCACATTTATTTCCCATTTAAAGTCCCAGTCTAGTACGCTAGCCACAAAACTATGTTTCCACTGGCCATTTCAGTTTAGACCTAGGCATTGAAGTGTGTGCTCTGTTCTTTGCCTTGTTATGTTTTGGGGTCAGCCGCCACCACCCGTTAACTGAAGTATAACTGGGAAGTCTGTTACATACTCAGGGTATAAACAAGCTGTGACTGACTTCTGGGTGTTTTGTAGGCATAGTATCTGGGAAGGAACAGTGTGCTACGAGAGACTGAATATAATATAGCAGCAATCTCATTTTCTTGCATGTATATAGACATTTGCTACATCTTACCAATATTAAACTTGTCAAAGGGGATTAATTTATATTACAATTCTCCATTTTATCGGATGCTTGGCAGTTGTTCTATACTAATGTGTTTAATACTAGCCTCATAATAGGCCATTTTGCATCTTCCACTTTGCTATAAACACAATTGCACAATTAATCCTGTAGCAATAGAGCTCCACAAATCTGACCATGTTTGCAGATCGGATGCTGATTTATACTTTGTGTATGACCAAGGCTCTGCTTATTGGAATTCCTATTTTGGCACAGGCTTCCTTTTAATTCACCCCTTCTCAGCAGGAGTTTGAGGATGCTGGAATAATGCTCTGGCCATTTCTTTTCATTTGAATATGTGTGTTACATTTTCCATTGCAGAAGTTATAAGATTGAAAGACAGTCATAGTCTCGGTGACTAAGTAGACACCTCTCATGCCTTTTGTGTGGCAAATGCACACTACCACCATTGTGCTCCTGGTGAGGCAGAAGAAGTGCCACTTGTTAGCTTTAGCAACTTCAGCAGCCAGGCCAACAGATGGCAGGCTGAGTCCCTTAGAAGCTCATAGCATTACCATTTATTTTCCATTGTGGTTGCAGACATGGGCCCCTCACTTGTAAGCACCTATCAGATGATTGACTTTAGAATTATAAGTAGTCCCCCTGGATTTCATGGGACAAACCACACACATAGTGATTTGTGAATGAAGGATATAGCGAACAGTATCAATAGTTGCTAGTGCCAAAAATACAGTGTGTGAATGAAGATTAACTGAAACATTTTTGTGATCAGTCAAGTTTGACACATCCCCGCTGATCAGTTCCTTCCAAACAGTCTGCCACATGTAGCATGGAAGAGACTGGAACGCTGAATTCACCATGGGTATGTCTACACTACCATGGGTATGTCTACACGAGGTGTACCGGTAGTTCGGAGTAGGAAGCCTAGTCCGAACTACCTAGTTCGAGCCCCGTGTAGCCGCGCTGCACGGGGTTCGAAGCAGCGGGGATTTAAAAATGGCGGCTCCCCGCTTATGCAAATGAAGCCCAGGAGGGGTATGTCTACACTACCCCGCTAGTTCGAACTAGCGGGGTAGTGTAGACATACCCCATGAGTCAAGTTATCCAGGTACCTCCAGTCTTACTTTTCATGAGATGTCTGGTGTGATTTCTGCTGTTCTAATCAACTAGCTTTGCGATGGGGAATTTTTGGGGGGTTGGGAGCATTGTTCCCTCTAAGCTGCAGGGCAGCACAGCTTCACAGGTGATTAATCAACCCCGCCCAGTCAGAGTCTCAGGGCTCCACTCATCTGTGAAGCTCTGCTGCAGTGCAGTTTAGAGGGAATACTGGTTGCAGGGCCACTGACTCACAGAAAAGTCAGAGAGGGGGCAGCAGGGGCTGGAGTCTCAGCATGGGCTCTCCAGTGCTGAGAAGGAGAGCCCAGAGCTTCTGGGGCTGGATCCAGGCAAGCTGGGTACTGTATCTGGCCCCTGGGCCTTAGATTCCCCACCCCTGACCTAGCCTATCATTACAGTAATTATTGACCTTACCTACTTTGCAGAGGTGATAAGACGGAACTTGTAGAAAGGGTACGATGTATTAACATCCTGAGATGGATGTTGTGGTAGCAGTAGCTAACACTAACAATTTACATTTCTGCTAATTAACTTAGTCATTTTCTCATCAAGAACATAATCACAAAGCAGAGAAGGAATGGAGGAAGCGCAGTCTCCAATTTGGTAGATTTTTTGACCAGTTAAAATGAGTAAGCTTGGAACAGCTTTAAAGTAAGCTTGGAACAGCTGTATCTTCAGTGTTATGAGGTATAAAGCTGTCTCAGAAATCTTAAGGCATTTCCAGATTTTGAAGAGCTAAAATAACATTCCAACTTTATGGCACATCTACCTGATGACAAGAAGCACAGATTTTTATTTCACAAGTCTCCAAGAACAGTTTTTTATTTTTAAAATGATCATCAAAGTAGGAAGATGCACTGTACATCAGATAATGTATCCATTAATCCAAAGCCAGGTGTGGATTTTTTTCCCCAGTAAAGCTAATATTTACATGTGTGGCTTTGTCTAAACATCAATGATAGCCTCTGCTGGAAGGATTCTTGTTGTTTCCTTTGTGACAGCCTGCATGTTGCTCTTATAACAAATGCCCCCAATGGTGGATGGCTATAGGAGACCCTCGTGATTTGCAGAATTGCTATTCATGGCTCTGCGTTGGTCTTCTGTCCTAGCTGGGGAAAGGAGAAGGGGGTTGGAGCCACGGTGAGCTCTCCCCGCTGCCAGGAGCCACAGTGAATTCCCCATAGCTCATTGCCCCCCATGGGGAGTTCCCCATAGCTCATGCCCCAATGGTGAGTTCAGGAGTTTACTCACACAATTTTCCCTATCCCTTCCACATTTTAGGGACACCCACCCTTACCCAATTCCTAGGGCTCAGGGCGTAACTTCCTGTGGGTCTGCAGGATCTTTTGCCACTGAAAGAGCTTTACACAGTAATATTCCTTCTTGTCAATAAATAGAGAACTACCAACCAAGCAGAATACACATGCTAAGCACACAGTGTCATGTTCACCAATCTTGATACAGGCAGACAGACTTCCCCTGTTGGCCAGGCAAGGTCAGTCTCTCAGGATCCTAGCTGCTGCATGTCATGGTTGTGCAGAGGAGTTCTGGCAGCTCTGGTCTTAGGCTGTGTCTTAGGAGGTGAGTTCTTCTTTCAAGTCTTCCCTCCTTCTTGCTGTTCCTTAGTCATTTCTTCCTTTCCTCTTTTCCTTCCTCGTTCTCTTTTCCTGCTGGTCTTCTCCTTGGACCTCAGTTTATATAGTGCAACTTGAGTCCTGCTTAGCTATACTTTAACCAATTATTTTAGTATAATTTTACTAACCAATCATACTCCACCAACTTAGTTGATTTACACCTAGCAAAATGAATTGTACAACAGACAGAAACCGTTATAAACCAAACAGAGATCATATAGACAAACAAGAGGAAAGTGAGGATGACAATCATAGAATGAGGATTCCACAACCTCAACTATTGATAAACAGTTTCTTGCCAGATGAAATGCTGTTAAGCTAAGTTTTCTCTACCCATCTTGATATATATTTCTTTATTTGGTAACAGTGGGTGCCATTAGGACAGAATCCCTTTAACAGCCTGGTGTGACACTATTTTAATGCAATTTAGATAGTGTGAGTATGTGACTTCAAGCTTTACAGCTAATGGCTGCTGCTCTTCACTCTGGCTGCAGAGGAAGACTTTAGACCAGGGGTGAGCAAAGAGACCTCCATGGGCTGGAGCCGGCTCACCAAGCCGCTGGATCCGTCCCCTAGCTGCCCTGCTACTTCCCCACCCCCAGGCCCATCAGGACCTGGGGATGGGGGAGTGTGTGAATTCTCTTCACCCCTGCAAGAGCATGCAGTGGCGAGAGAGACATGCCGCCTGTTTTGAAACAGCTTTTATTTCTAGCTGCCGTGTGCCTTTGGTGTAGGGGACATTTGCATGCTCCCCGCCCCCAGGCCAGTCAGGGTTGGGGGAAACGCAAGAAGTCTCCTGGCCCTGCTCCTTCCACCTGAGGCCCCTCCCCTTCCGGGGTAGCCTGAGGCCACTTCAGAATTTCTGAAGAATTTCTGAAAAATTACCTACCTCTGCTTTAGGCCTTCCATTACGGCTACAGACATTCCGATATGGCTATGGAAAAACCAAATTGTTACAGGAGCTGTGTGGAGCTCACTATGGCGGCTGAGGAGCTCACTGCTGCAGCTCCCAGTATTCACAAATTTCAGCACACCTGGTGGATGTCAGAGGTAGGCAGTTAGGCTTATTGTTTGTTTGGGAGTGACACAAAAGTGCAGCTAAGCAACTTGGAGATTACTAGGGTGATCTGACCGATTGCAAGCCTAGCCATGATAATGTAGAGAACAGAACTTTAGTAAGGACTAGAAAGCAAATATAAAATTGAGGTTTTACTTGTTTATCTTGCTTTGTTTTGCCAAGCTTCTGGAAATATGTTGCTCCCGTTCCTGTTTCTATCACTAGCTCTAGTTGTCATTATTTGTCCATCATCTTAGAAGAGTGTTATAATGAACAATAAACCTTTCTTTGAATTCCCTAACCTTGTGACCATGATATCACTCAGTAGTTGCAAAACAATGCTATCCTCAGTACCTTTGAACTGCCCTCAAACATTGTTCTGTATTAAATAGAACATTGGTTCCTCAAGCCCTTCAATAAAACTGGGTTTTGTGACAGTGTCAGCAAATACCCTTCCTTCTAAAGTAACCTGCCATTAGGATAGCAGGTTTTAGGCTAGAACCAAGATGAATGGAACCATTGGTAATAAGACATATGGATTTAGATAATGTATAAAGCGTGTGAAATGTTGTTAAGTATCTGCCATGTATGTTTTTTTTTAATATTGTGAAGTTTGTGCAAAAAAATTAAATAGCATATAATCTTGTAAGTGAAACTGTATAATACTTATGCATGGGGGGCCAAATTAAGGATGTTCATGCTCATGTAGCATAACTGCACACATGATTTGTCAACCTTAATATTCTTCTCTAACCTTTTTTTTTAATGTAAGTTATTCTTCTTTATAGTGTTTTTAACAATTACTGGGGTTTATTTTTCTTTCCTCGCCTGTAAGTCAAACTATAGTCCAGCGATATCGGCCTTATATGAAAAGGAAGTTGTCACATTTTAGAATTGGAACATTCTGAGCAACCTTAGCTAACTTCTTAAAAATAGCTCTTCCCTAAGAATGAACCTGGGCTAGAGACAGGTGCATTGCCCTCTGAAAAGTGGAAATTGTACAGTTTTCAGAAGCACAGAGAATCCATTTCTAGCCTTGTGAGATGTAAGCCCTTAAACCAGGGAAAGAAAGTGGCAGCCATCTGAGGCTGCCTCAGAGGTTTTGCAATGTTAGAGCAAGTGTCAATAGAAATGACTAGCAGACAAGATGAAGGGAAGACCATCACATGGCGATAAATGCAGTTTGTTGCATTTCTTTATAATTTATCACGTGAGCTCTGTCTTGTACATGTTTTATAGGTAATGGTATCATAGAACACTGACAGTATATGCTTTATATTCTAAAAGCTTTTATAAGCTTATTCTTTAATACGTATCAGAAAAAATATATTGAAAGGCTGTATTTGTAAGACACTACAAAAAACCCTGATTAGGAAGAGAAGCTGGGATTTTCAGAAGCATCTAGACTAGAGGCTAGAACATCTCAGTCAGAATCTGTCAGTTTAACCAAATTAATTGTTGCCATTCTTGTATTTCTGCAGCATATAGTGATTTGGGTTATTACATTATTAACAAGCTGCACCATGTGGATGAATCAGTGGGAAGTAAAACTAGAAGGGCCTTCCTTTATCTTGCTGCCTTCCCTTTTATGGATGCCATGGTGAGTATATGGCTCATAACTGAATTTAACTAACTTCTCTCTGTGATGTTCCCAGTTTATAGAAGCCAGCTCTTTGATGGGTATTTGGAGACACATTGAATAATGCATGAAAATAATTCCTCTTCCCTATTAAATATGGTGCAGACTATGATAGTAGGGATGTATCATAAGCTTATTGGAAAGTCGACTAGTCCCTTGACTAGTCAGTTCTCTCCCCCTCCCTCTTCCCCCGCTCGCTGCCTTTATCGAGGGGGGGAGCAGGCAGAGGTGCTGGGGGGAGCCGGCTTAAAAGCTGGCTCCCCCTCCTCCCCCCAGCACCCTCTCCATGGGGGGCAGGGCAGGCAAAGGTGTAGTGGGGACCAGAAGCAAGCAGGAAATCAGCTGATTCCCTGCTTGGGCTCAGGATCAGATGCTGTGCCTCTGCTTTTTAAATGTATTAAGAGCCTGCTGGCTCTTAATACATTTAAAAAGCAGAAGCACAGTGGGGAGGACCTGGTGCAAGCTGTGAATCAGATGTCCCAGCTCGTGCAGGGTCCCCAGTGCTGCACACCAGCCTTTAAAATGTATTAAAAGCCTGCCAACTCTTGATATATTTAAAAGGCAGAGCCACAGTGGGGTTCACTCCCCGCTGTGGCTGCCCTGCTTTATCAACTAATTGACTAGTCGAAGAAAATTCCATTGACTAGTCGATTAGTTGCTTAAACTAAATTTAACATCCCTATATGATACTGATGTATATCTACGCCATAGTCACGTTCTCCAAATAATTAAGTATGAAAAGAAGTGGCATCAGTGAGTTACTTTGTAAAGGCAGAATTTTGTAGCAATATTCAGTATACTCATTGGCCAATGAGATCTCAGCTACATTTTGTACAAGATAAAAGCTGGTGAATAAAAAGAGAACCTCTTAACTTGGATTTATTAGAACTGCAATAACATCTCTTCCCCTCCTCCCCGCCACACACACATACCAGGAATAAAGGTGGCTTCTCATTCTTCCCTTCTCAGCAGCTACTGTACAGTTATTTAAACTGGTCCCCTCTCTCAGTCCTGGCAGAGTTAAAAGTTGCAGTGTCTTTTCTGTGTTATTGGCCTAGATTTGTTCAGACTCGTATTAGATGCTGACTCAAATGGTAGAAAAGAGCTTCATAAATGGTTTGTATGAAGCTTGGCTGTAATAAAGTAGTCAGAGCCTGGAATTTGAAGCTAATAGATGTATCCATGTTAGATGTTTTCTAAACAAAGTTCTGTCCTTTATAGGCTTGGACCCATGCTGGCATTCTCTTAAAACACAAACACAGTTTCCTTGTGGGATGTGCCTCCATTTCAGATGTCATAGCTCAGGTAATAACTCCTCTCAGCAACCGTTGTTTCTGTTGTGCTCTGGGTCAGATCCTGCCCACACTATGGATCCTTTTTGCTGCTCCAGTCATGCAGTGGAGTCTAATAGCTGCTCTACACAAGCATTTGACATTTCCCCCAGCATGTCAAGACTCCTCAATGGCTTACAGCCTGCTTTACGCTTTCCTCCCAGAAAGCCGGAGGATGTGGGGTTGTGCCTAGAGCATGCTGTACCTCACCAGTCCACAGTGCATAGAGGCCCCTCAGTGGCTGTTGTGGCTGAGGTTGATCTCATTTCCACACAAATCAGATAACCCCAGGTCGGGGCCGGATTAAGCAGGGGGGCTAGCAGGGCAGCTGCCCGGGGCGCCAACCTATGGGGAGGGCTGATGGCAGCTGTAAGGGGTGCCTCGTACCCAGGCAGCCTCGTACCCAGGCAGCGCCCCTTAGAGCTGCTATCAGGTGTCGTGTCAGCAGGCGCCACATGCTCAATTGCAACAAAGGATAGGAGTTCAGTGAATCACAATGATTACCTCATATTCTAGGATATGGTACCTTTAGATGACTGTTACTCAAGATTCAAGCTCTTTGGGGGAGGGACGGTCTTCTGCCATATTTTGTACAGCACTTAGCATAACAGGGCTAAAATTTAGAGTGGAGCCTCTAAACTCTATGGCAGTAGAAATAAATACTTGTTTCTCCAGTTTTCCCTTTATCTCTCAGTGATGCACTTGTTGATTAACTTTGTGAAATTGCAGCTCTGCTGCAATAACATGTGCCAACTGCCAAGCAGGAGAATAGCTCAGCAAGCAAGCTTCTTTTTACAGGCCAGGAATGTTTTATGTTCAAAACTTTAGTCAGAACTTAATTTAACCCCTTCGGTGCTGCAGTGCATTATTGGGTAGAGTCTTACATTGTTTCAAGTTCCATTATGTCAGTGATGTGTTACACATATGTCCCTTTCATTGTGCAATTTACTAGACATCCATCATGTCAAGTCATTTAAATTCATGTTTGATATTAAGTACCAGTATTGCAGTTCTCATTTTTAAAGCACTTAAACTTTTGCATAAATTTAGCTTCACAGCAAGAGGTACATAGCCAGTTTTGTCATCTTCATTTAGTGGTGGGTGAAGTGAAGGCAGGGAGAGAAAGCAAGTGGCTTTTACAATGTCAAAGGGAACCAAAACGCAAGAGCTCTGGTTTTCAAATCCTTTGTTCAGTTCTCTAGATCACCTTCCCTCTATTAAATAAAAACAATTGTACGCTACAGTGTGAAACCTTGTGGGTTGTTACCCTAAGATGGAGTTTCATTTTTCACTATATACCATGTAGAGTAAAATTTCTGCAATTTATGTAAGTTAGAAGTAATTATAACAAGAAAACTTAATACCAAAGAAATCCACTTAAGTCTGACTCTGAGTTCATTCTAGAGTGACTTTGGAAGTCAGGGGTATAAGACCATGGTATGAAAACAGAGCATAGCCTGCTAGACCTCATTCTCCATGGTTTTGTATTTTGTCTAGTCATTCAGACCTGAACAAACAAATTATAGCACTACTGTATTCATTTAGCACCATTTTTAGACACATAACTTGCCTTTGTGCAAAGCATGTAACTACAGGTTGGACCTCCCTGGTTCGGCACCTTTGGAACTAGACCAGTCTCGAATGAGGGGATTTGCCAGACCATGGGAGGTCCCATCTCGGGCTCCAGTCCAGCCCCACTGCTGCCTGCCCAGCCATGCCCCCCTGGC